TTGGGTGTTAGGTGCCTTACTCAACTGCACTGTTCATTCACTCCCCCACCTACATTTCCTGCCAGGACTGAGAATCAAACCCAAGACCTTCAGGTTCCAATTCTGACTTTCTAACCATTATGACACAACTGCCCCTATAATAGTGACATAATGTAGCCAGAGAGGATATATTATTACAGTTCATCTTACAGCTTTCTTGCAATAGGGGTGTTCCATAAAGCTTGTCTGAATTTGCAATAGAAACCAAGAGGGTGAAGCTTCCCCCTTGGTTACAAGGAAGGGAAGGGTCAATTATACAGTGGTATCAAAAATAAAAATCCTCGCTGTCTAAAGAAAAACACTTGAACAAATAGAAATGCAGTGTCCCCATGTTGCAGAGAGATAGATGGATCTGTTGTGCCTAGACAAACTTAATAAGAATGATTAAACAGAGGTTGATGCATCTTTCTCTCACGACTTGATTATTTTTTTTTTTGGCAGAGTAAGACTCTTTGAGAGCCTCTTCTATTCTGGAACAACCCCAGGATATTGAGCATGACATGTTTACAGAGAGACTTATTTACATGATATCAGGTTGATAAATCTTGCTTAGTAATGTTGACTTCATTAAATCTCAAATGACTCTTGTTTGGTAGAGAGAGTTGTTGTTGTGACAGATTTGCTTTCGAAATGAGAGCTGACTGCACAGTGCAACCCCATTAGCCCACATCCAAACCTGCATCTGTTCTGCTGAGATGGCACAAGCTCATTCGTGTGAAGGCGCTGAGGGTTTCGTTTACTCTCCCTTTGCACGCCAGCCAAAACACATTAAACAAACCTCTGTGTTGTTCATGGATCAGTTGACCTGGTGTTTGAGGTGTTATCGTCTGATTTAATTGTGGGGTAAACTGAGGGAAAACACAAGATCTAATGGCTGACAGGAGATGTTACCTCTACAGACAGTACCAGCAGGACTAAAGAGATTACCTCTGCAGCTCAAAACAAAGCACTAAGAAGCTTATCAGCGATCAGGTGTACATATTGCACTGCGTGTGCTCAATAGAGCCGGACATTGGGAGGTACTGCAACCTCTCGTATAGTCTTACACAGCCGTCCATTACGGCTCTCATGCATCTACACCTCGCATCCAAGGTAACCTGACTCTTTAATGAAGCCCTCTCTGGTCTCCCGTGTCTTCCCTCACCGGTCGAATGGATTCCCTTAGGGACGAACGAGATGACAGTGCTGTTAGGATATCGCTGTAGTCGCACCGTTACTATTGGAAAGCAGAAACCAGGCTTGCAGTTTTGTCTGCGGACAAAGCTTCTTGTAAATATACCACCCAAGACACTGATTTCCTTTGGCCGTAGTAAAAGAATGTGTGTTAGAGTGTGACTGGAGGTCGTCCAGGGGTCTATTCAGCTTGATGAGCGATTAGCGATTCCCTCCTCCCACGCAAAACTACGCCAATAACTGAAACGGCTCCCCAGCAACCTCTTGTACAACAACAGAAGCCCTTTTAATGGCAACTCTGTTCATCTGCACTTCGTCAACCACCACGTACACACACTTACCGTTGTGTAGTAGTCATTGGCATTGGCATCTTCCCTGCAGAGATACTCTCTCTCTTTATACCCAGTTGGGCCATTGACTGTGAAATCTCACTTATCTTGGATTAGCCTCCTGCTGGAAAACCAGTGATTTATGCTGTCTGGATCTCTACATCTCTCCAGTGTGAGCCTAGAATTAATTTGGATATGATGCCTGTGTTAGTAATAGGGTTACATTTATAGTACATAACTATTTTTCTTTTTTTATCTTTAAAGGGGAGGTCTAAAGCTATTTCATGCATTCTGACTTATTTACACTGCTAAAGATTTGAATTCTCATGCTAAACAAAAAAAAAATGAGTTGGATGTTTGTTGGAGTATTTCTGTGCCAAATACACTCCTTCAGGGTTCGTATAAAAGTTTTGGAAAGTTTTTTTTTTTTTTTCTCGAGTATGGCCCTTCATTACGTCATAAAGGGAGGAATTCCTTGTATGGACAATTCCTGAAATAAGGAATTCCTTGTATCAGACAGAGCGGGAGCACGCCCGTCAATGTGCTTCATTTGGGTTACGAAAGTTGTCTGCAGCACTGCACAGGACTTGCTTGAGAAGAATTTGTCGTTTTGTTTTTAAATCACAAAATCAACAGTTACCAAAGAAGTGTGTTTTTGGTTGTGAGGGAAAGATAACTTTTTATAAACAAATTAAATAAAATTTAGTTCAATAAAGTTTTTTGTTCCTGTTTTATTTATGTCGATGTCACAGCTTGCAGACGATCACTACGCAAATCTTCGCGTGCTCGTGTTTCTTTAGCTTTGCCCACGACACACCTCCCAAGAGCTTGTTTTCTAAGAGAAGCCTAAAGCTGTGTCTGTCTTTTATAAATCTGCTAAAACTAAAGACTCTTCGGTGATATGACAGATGCAATACTACTCTATAGGTACTCAAGATTAAAGAAGTCATATGATGTGATTTCAAGTTTTCCTTTCTCTTTGGAGTGTTACAAGCTGTTTGTGAATAGATAGGATCCCTAAAGTTGCAAAGACTAAAGTCTCAAACCCAAAGAGATATTCTTTATAAAAGTTAAGACTCGTCCACGCCCTCCTAAAACGTATTATGTCCCCTTATCGTTTAATTGTTGTACTTCCGTATGAAACTGATGCTGGTATTATCAATGTGCTATGCATAAATGATTCCTCAAATCATGCATCTGGGCTGGGTTCGATTTCGTGTTCTGGCTCGCGAACCTTTGCTGAATAAAAGGCAATAACTTAAAAAAAAAAAAAAAAAACATGTATCTGTTTAAAGAGAGTTGTGCACTTTTCTAGGCAAATTAAAGATGTTTATCTGATGTTAAATAAGTTGTGAAAAAATCCCTCAGATTCAAGGAGGGACCTAAAATTTACAGAGACCAGAACCTCAGAGTGGACTCTTTTGACTTGTGCCAGTAAACAACCATTTAGAAAACCCCAGTAACCACTTTGCAATGCACTTAAAACTTCACCGCCCTGCAATGCCTGGCAACCACTAACAGCACCCTTGCAGTGTGGCGGCAAGTATTGCACAGGCAAGTTTAACTCTCATTTTCTTTAGAAAATGTAAAGATACCAACTGTTTCAACATTTGTCCCAGAGATTATCATACTTTTTAAACATTCATGCCCACACATTTTAAATTGTTGCTACGCCTCCGTGTGTGAGTATACTTGTGTATCTCAGTGGAATAGGAGTCTTTAGCAGTATAAAATCTCCTTCTCTGATGGTGAAACTGATCTCTTCTGTACTGACCTAGACCACCCGAGAGACAGACTAAGAGGGCTGCAAAACTGACAGAACAAAAACAATACTGTACTTCTCCAGGCGGGAAAGCTAGGAAGTAGGGGAGAGCAGGAGGAAACGGATTGTTCTCTCTAGCTGATTGTGCCCTGTTTTGATAAGCGAAGGTGTTTCCTCTGAAGTGAGAGAGCTGTCCCAGCAGTCCTGCCTTATGTATTGACTTGAGAGCGAGATATATAAATGGAAAGAGTAATATTAGGTCTGGGGAAGTCTCCCAGGACCCTCCTGAAGAAACGGGACAGGAGGGGAAATGGAGCAGTGGGTCTCTGTACTGTTTATGTCGTCACTTAGCTGTCCGGTTCTAATTAGCCCCGCCACTGCATTTCCTTGTGTTTTATGTCAACACATCTCAGCTATGGAATGAACCGCTGTGACCCCTCACAATGAGGCCAGTGCTTTTCATTGATTTTATGTAATATTATGTCACATTGATTATCAGAATGAAAATGCCCAGACCAGCACACATCCTCGAAACATGAAGCTTGCTGGATCTGAAAATTATGCAAATCCACCATTAATAATGCTGTGTGGAGACTCCCGCTCACTGTTGCCTTCACGACAGGGAGAGGCTCTTTGCTTTAACCTCCTGAGGAAATGCACTACATACTTTAGTTCTTTTAGGATCTTGGATTCTCAGACAGGAAGTTTCCATGGCACATTCATAACTTATCAGGGGCTGCAGTCATCAAGATATGAGTGGAAGGGAAACTCACAGCATAAAAGTAACATCTAAATTCTTATACACTATAGTAAAAAAAAAAAAAAGCTCCTGCCCACGTTTAGAGGATAAGAGATTCTGGGGTGTGGTTATGGGCAGGTCCACTATGGGCAGCAACACATTATTATCACAATATGACATTGAATGTGTCTGAAATCGCATACTCTCTGACTAGACCATTGAAAAAATGAGTCCTACTGTGTATTGTATGAATGTGTGTAGTATGAATGCAGATATTTGTCATATGCTGTCATTGTTTTGTGACCTACCAGCGACTTTTTTCACTGCCAATTCTCTTCTTTGCCCTCATGAGGTAGTAAATTGTCCATTGGATGCTAACTTCAAAATCTCATTGGAAGTAGTAGGTCATCTAGGTACTTTTTGCCTGCTGTTTTATGAATACTGTGAATTAGGGAATGCTGCTCTTTTCACATACTGTTTTTGCCTACTATACAGTAGGGAAGTATACATGTTCAGATGCAACCATAGTCTATCATAAAGACCAAAGCAAATCATGCTAAATACTCTATTCCATTTTAATATAACACCTATATGAGGTTGCACACAAATTATGACCACATATGGATTTCATGTATAATATTTTACTTTTTTTTTTCTCACTAAGGCAAGTATTGTTGTTATTGTTACTCCGTTAGAGATTTGAACAAGCATTTAACCCTAAGTTTTAACCATTTGTGCTAAGGACATGAATTAAACCTCAAATTGTGAGGTGAAATATCCAATAGCAATGCCTCAATACCCTAGTGAGCACCCATCAATGCTCTACCAATCTCAAGGACTTGGCAACCACTGACAATACCTTAGTATTGGGGCAGCAGGATTTTTCATGTATAGACTTACATTTTTTAATGAAAAAGTGTAAAAATCAATCTTTCTCTCTCTCTTTCTCATCTCCCAGCTGAGAAAGTGTCATCACTGGGGAAGGATTGGCACAAGTTCTGTTTGAAGTGTGAGCGCTGCAGTAAGACCCTCACAGCGGGTGGCCATGCTGAGGTGAGTAAGTCAGAGATCACACACTACCTCTCTGCAGTCTAGCTGGGGAAACTCAAACTCCTACAGCTGAGTATTGACTTTGTGACGCTGTGCATTTCCATCAGAGGATCAGTGGTTTATTTGAAGAGTCCAGAACCAGGACTGAAGCCTGTCACGTGGCATTATGTGTGTGGGGAGCTAGCATGACATAAACACAATTTAAGGGGTAAAAATGATGCAATCATGAAAATAAAAAAGCAAACGGAATGTCTCAAAACCTACAGGATGTTGCAACAAGCATTTTCCCTCCTTATCTCTTTTGGATAGCTGTGTGTAATCGTATCTTATGATGCTCGTCTTCAGTGATTTGTTGAAAGCTAGCTGGCCAGCTTTGTACATCCCGAATGTTCCTGTGTGCATGACTGCAAGCCAAATGAAATTCTCCACGACCTTTCCAGCATCCTATTACATCACACAGTGATGACTGCGTCTAGATCGGAATGGCAGTAGAGGGCAAAGGACAGTGCAGTGATGTTTTAGAGCCAGAGGAATCGCCATCATGATGCCTTAGGCCTGTATTCCACAAGGGTAAGAGTAGGAAACACGACACGCCTGCATTGTGAGTGTTGCATTTACTCTGTGAAGAGAGTCACAGATAGAAGGAATTCTCTCTGTAATCTCTTTGTAAGCATATTAACATCTTCACTGCTCACATCAGCCTAAATCTGGATGTGGGTCAGGTTGCTATGGGGGGATTTCTGTTGGGTCTTACACGGTACAGGAACGAGGATGGGGCAAAGTGAAGATGGGTAATACATGTGTGTACGTTTTTCTTCAAGACCATTGATCGAACAAGAACTCACCCTGTGGATAAGATGATAATCCCTTAGTGTGCTCCTTGGATTCTGGCAGGGTAAAGCGAGAGGGTTTATGGGAATAGCCATGTTAAGTAGAGGCAGAATGGAGAGAGTTTGGATTCAGTTACCAGAATATGTGAGAGGCTCTGGGAAAAGTGTGGGCTGGTGCGCTGCTCTATATGACCGGTGAGAGATGACCAGTGAGACCTGTAATGGGAGCTGATGGACTAAGCTTTGTATCTGGCTTAGACATCACACCCACAGACTTTTCACCATCTGTCTGATGCATATCACACAATATGTCAAGAGACTTATCAAAAAACAAGATCTGATTTTGATTTGCAATTTCCAGAAGTCAAGGGTATGCAACTGACAACGATTTGCCACAAAAAAAGTACACAGAAGTGGGTGAGCTGAAGTGACATGAACCTCCGAGACCACTGAAAACCATATGCCAATGATATTGCCCAATACAGTTGGATATTGCAGTCAAGAATGCCTGCCAGCAAACTAACTAACAATATAGCAATTTAACGACCTCCAGTGATTAAAATCCTGTCAGAGTAATCTTAAGCACCTTCAGGTACTAAAGGTTTCTGTTTCTATTGGGTGACCGAACTGTCAAGACTTGCTTTAGTTAGCAGTTCCACAAAAGAACCAGTCATTTGATTTGGTACCTTTGTAAGGTTCATGGCATTTAGGATGCATTCACACTTGTAGTTCGGTTCTCTTGGTTCGTTTGGTCTGGACCAAAAAAAGAAAACAATACATTTGGTCCTGGTCCACTTAGCGTTCACACTGGCATTTTTGACAGTAAACCTAAAGATACCGAAACTTAAGGCATAGTGATACGTTCACAACCTGGTTGAATGACGTATATTTCGTGATGGAGCTTACGAACACTCCAAACAATAGGTGTATTCGACTTAAAGTGGCGCTGCACTACCTTCTCATTGCTCTACGTTTGCCCTCTGCTCATTTTGTTTTAGATGCACTGCTCATTCTGTACCATCAAATCATGTCTCATAGCATCGCATCTTACCATTACCATTACATCCTGTTTTCGGTTTGTTTAGAAGTATTTGGTCCATGTTGCATTCATATTTAATTTGAACCGCACCAGAGTTCGTTTGGAAGTGAACCAAGACCCATCTTTTTAGTGGTCTCGGTCCATTTGTTTGGTGCGCACCAGGGTTTAGATGGCAGTATTCACACTTACTCAAATGAACCGCACTCACAGAGCAATCGCACCAGAGTTCGTTTTAATCGAACCAAACATGAAAAGTGTGAACACACCCTTAACCTTTGAGAAGCTTTATAGCATAGCAAGTAGATTTCCTTGACCATACATTTCAGATTCCTCTATAGGATCTTGACTAGGGGTGACCCCGAATAGTCGAAGATTCGATGCTTCGATAGGAGGAGCCTGATTCAACTACCAGTCTCACAGTCGGATATTCGCGGGGTGTTATGATCATGCCATTTTGGCTATATGGGGGTGCTCAAATGTCTAAACTCACATAGATAGAACTACTAGTTTTCTCCCAATAAGTTAATATACAGCGTATTAAAATAATGCTGTAAATAAGAATCTGAAAAGTAAGAAGCTTCAAATAAATATTTTAACGTGCGTGAATAAATCCAACCACCCCTATAGATTTAAGATTCACTTTCCATAATCCGTCACCGACAGAGGAGCATCTTGGCGGCAGGGATTTAAAACTTTAACTCAAACTGACACAGGCAGAGTGAAAGACTGGATTTTTTCGATCAGGTAGGGTACAAGTGATTTCAAAACATTTCAGCCGGTTATATATATCGTGTATATATTATTTATCTCATATAAGATGCATTTGGTTGAGTTGCGCTGCAGTAAAGCGCTTCATGGAAGTACTGCGGTGATTATCTCTTCAGCGCGCTGCGCGAACAGGACAAACAACAATGCAGAATATATTAATAACTATGACTGGGACTGTCATATACATAACAATTATAATGAGAACACTATTATAATAAAACACTGTGAATTTTTAGAGTTTAGTTGCCGTGTTTCTGCACGTTGTTGCATGAAGAAGGCGTCCACAAAAGGCCGTGCAGACATGTTCATGTGCATTTGGGGCATTTTGTGCAGATAGCCTATAAGCCATAATATTAATGTTATGTTGTATAAATAACGAAGCGTATTCTATATGAGATAAATGATTAGTTAAATCCCATTGATTAAAAACCTGCTATCAAATGCTTCATTCTACTGGTCAATTTCAGCGCGCGCAGCTCAAAACAGAAATGCAGAACATTAATAACTACTGTCATATACATAACGTTATAATGAGAGCACTATTTTAAAAAATGTTGTGAATTCTTAGGGTTTCGTTGATAGTTAACATTAAACATCTTTTAATCAAAACATAAAACATTATTTACCCTGAACCCCCCCACCCCACCCTAAAAAGCTGTAAAGTTGACCAGACTTCATGTCAACGTCTTGATATGTGAGACTTCATTTACATTTATACATCTGGCAGACGCTTTTATACAAAGCAACTTGCATTGCACTCAAGGTACACATTTACATTTTATCAACTCTTGCTTTGCCTAAGAATCAAATCCATGACTTTGATGTTGCTAGCACCATGATCCACTGTTTGAGCTACAGGAAAGCTTAGGAGTGTTGGTGAAGTCCTCAAATTCCCTCCCTAGTGGTCTAGTTGGGCTAACACTTTAAGATCCTGATTGAATTACACCAGAACCACTACACCTCTGTAGTCAACGAGTGTAGCTTTTTTGCCTTTTTTAGAAGTATTGACATCTTACAACATCAAGTTTTCCGGTCGGTGTCTGCTAGACTTTTTTGTAATGTGGGGCTCATTACACAGTTTTTCCCCGTGCATACTTTTGTACTGGCATGAGGCCACTGTTCTCTGCCCCTTCCGTTCCTTTATCCTGTCCCGCGCAGCTGTAACGGTCACACAGCTGCCGTCTGACGGTTCCCATGGCAACCTTTTCCCGCCATGGCCCCGACCAAAGGGCTCTGGGAGCAACTGCCATTGAAATATGTTCTGTTTTCCATTCAGACACACTCAAGGCACACTTTGGGTGTCCTTTTCCCTCAACATAGACTGTGTCCAGGTAACTGCTGTGAGTGTTATCAGGGAGTGGACGCCAAGATAACCACCGTCTGTGGCATTTAGACATTTAGGATGGTCTACAAGCAGCAGATTAAATTGCAAACTTACACCAGCAAATGCACACTCATTCACTTGTAGTCTTGATGAAAAATAAGCCTGAAATGATCCTGTTTTTTCTTCTGTTTTACATCCTCACAGCATGATGGGAAACCATACTGCCACAAGCCATGCTATGCTGCCCTCTTTGGGCCAAAAGGTGAGATGAGATGAAACACTTTTCAGATTGAGCATTTCAGCATTTCAGATTGAAGTCATGTGACATGGAACTCTTCTAATCTCTGCCCATTTACCATATATACAACATACTGGGTTATGGAATGATTGATATGACTTAAGAGATTTTGCACTCTTGTACATATAGCAAGAGTGAATAGTTAAGTCATTGTTGTCATGAAATTAAATAGTGCCCTCTGCTGGACATTAGGAACATTCTTGTTTTGAGGAAGAAATCGCTGTATGTACATGGTTAAAATGTATTGGTATCTGCAGAGATTAACATGAAATTTGATAGATAAATGTGGTAAAAGTATTGCTAGTTCATGATACCGAATGCATTAACTAATTTTATTGAAGGAACAAATGTAATTAGTCATATCAAACATTTCTTAATACGAATGTTGTATGATGGAGAGATATTTTCATGAAACCTTGTTTATTATGTAGGTGTGAACATTGGGGGTGCAGGCTCATATGTGTATGAGGCTCCCACCAACCCTTCCCCACCTGCATCCACCGTGGACTCTGCACCCAAACCTCTGGAGAAATGGGTCCCGGCATCTTCAAGGCCACCATCTAAAGGTACAAACAGCAGCAGAGATCAGCAGCAACTGACTTGTTCTGATGTGCAATTAATGCCACAATATAAAGGTTGTAGGTTGTGTGCATCTTCCTTTAGCTACAAATTGTATTCTAAATGTTTTGCAATAAAACATATGACAAATTGCACAGAGTTTATTTGGATCATGGAGTGCATGCATCTCTCATTTCAGCTGGAAACATCACTACCTTCTCTGGGGAAGCCAACTTGTGTCCCAGATGCAACAAGAAGGTCTATTTTGGTATGCTTCTCTCTGTCCTAACAACATTTCATACTGTGGCTTGGGTTTTAATGATAGGAAATGGTGGTAGCATAATGACATGTCCTGTTACTTACGGCAGCTGAGAAGGTGACGTCACTGGGGAAGGACTGGCATCGTCCATGCCTGCGTTGTGAGAGATGTAGTAAGACCCTGGCAGCTGGCAGCCACGCAGAGGTGAGAGGAAAATGAAGTTGCTAATAGTAGGAGCACATCCAAAGATGGCTACCATGATTCTTTCATTAATTCTGTCCATGTAAAAGAAGTTAATCAAGAATATTTTTTTACATTAGAAATCTTGAATAAACCGCAGGGCATCTATGGGTCATTAAACATTTTTAATAGGTAATAAATCAATTTGCTGCAAATTAAGTCTTAAATTATGATTCATAGGTTTATCTGAACATTTCCTTTGGGAGTAAGTACAGTTAATCAAAATAAAACTGACATTTCAGTATGACTTAATGTGATAATTAATTTGCACAAAAAGAACATTACCACTGTAGAAGCCAAAGAAATAACATGTTAACTTGGCACACTATATATGTATGAATGCAATATTTTGTAGTTGATGTGCAGGTCTTAAAACATGAAAAGGTATTGGAAAAATATTCAAATGTATTCAGTTGAAAGTGCTGATACCTAAACATTTCTATTTCTAAATGCATGAATTTATCCTAAAAGGTGTTTTTGTGTGTTGCAGCACGATGGTCAGCCCTACTGCCATAAACCATGTTATGCTGTCCTCTTCGGCCCAAAAGGTACTGTGAGAGTTTTCAACTCTAGATGGAGCCATTGCTTAATTTTCAGAAAATAATCAGCTTTCTTTATATCATAATGAATACTGAAAACCTGATATGTCCAAGTTAAATCAGTTTCAGCTAAATTAGTTATTAACCCAGTCTGATCCACTCTCCTGGATTTCTAGGTGTAAACACTGGTGGCGTTGGCAGCTACATCTATGACAAGGAGCCCAACACGGAGGCCCAGCCTTGATTTTCAATCCTTGGGAAGCCCAACTTCACTATAATAACAGCCACTACCAGTACCTCACGCACTTTCACATATGCCCCACTTTTTGCCTTATCACGGATAACCTGTGCCAGCTTGGACCTTTCTGCAGAAAAGTGACGCCACATACTACAATCATGTCTTGAGCTCCAGCTGCACCACTTGACAGTCCCTTGGCCTCTTCTTTTTGGTCTACCCCAATTCCAACTATCCCCGATAAGAGGAAAATTTGAACTGGTTAATCATTTCTGATTTGTCCTATGATTCATTAAAGGGTACTTTATTTAATTGTATACAGTATCTTTGTTTGTATTATCATTAAAACGCTGTATTGTAGCTCCTCTACAAAGGAAAAACTAAGATCCCTACTTCCACAATACTGCATGTACAGTAAGATGTTTGTGTAATGTGTGTTCTAGTAGCAGATAAAACAACACAAGTTCACTGAGGGAGTTTTGTTTTAGGAGCCGTGCTGTTTGAAATGCCTGCTGACAGAGAGATGAATCTCGCCTTAGAGGCTCCATGCAGGTGCGTTCGGGAGCACATCATCATAAATCAGAAAAATATTCCCAAACCCAGAATTACTTTTTGGCCATATGGCAACATTCTTAGTTTAAACATTTTAAGAGAAGGTCTGCAGGATGTATGCAGACAGTGAAGTAAAACGGCCAAGCTCTTATTTTTAAGGGGAGGACAGATCCTGCTCCCAGAGGGCCACTGTCCTGCAGAGTTTAGCTCCAGTTCTAATTAAGTACACCTGAACCAGCTAATCAAGGCCTTCCAGATTACTAGAAACTTCCAGGCTGGTGTGTTGGGACAGGATGGAGCTAAAATCTGCAGCCCTCCAGGAGCAGGTCTGGATACCCCTTGATTTATGGGGTAGCTAGTTGAAGTCCACAGGGACAGATGGGAACAGGGGTGTATGTGATTGGTGCTTGGTGACCAAGTAGCTGCAGCTAATATTTCTGATGCCAATCTAGTACCGTTATATGACACATGGAAACGGATTAAGGAAAAGATATGAATAAGCTTTTGTATTGTTTGTGATCTGAATATTTTAAACGAACCCCAGTTTCTCAAAGTGTTGAAACTGAAGTATTATGTTTCCCATTAGTTCTTTAGTTTGTAGTGAATTTGACTATATTCTTTCCGAATGTGCATTCGTACTCTGACTGTTATTGTTCTAATTTTTTTTTTTTGCTGTATGAGGCCTTTGTTCTTTGGAGAACTTTCTTATGCAGAGTCTGTACGTCATGTTCTGCTGCTTATGTATGTTTAATCCCATATTAAAGTTTACATAAAGCTTTTCCCTTGTCTTGGATTTTTATTTAAGTGCATGTGACTCCTGTACTGAAACATGCTATAACAAGATGGGAACAATAAAGGAGTTAAGGTAAATTGATACAGATGGCCTTGAATTCACTGCCATTGTTACTATTTTCCAGTAATAATTTGATTGTCATGATCTTCATGTTATGCACTTATCCACAGCAACAGCCCTGAACATTCACTGGAATAATGTTTCTGACAGAGTCTATTTGTGTGCTTTGATCACAAAACGCTTTTGTGTAGTAATTGGTTTTTCTCCATTTTACAATGAAAGGTTGTCTTGGGAACATACTCCTGCACTCTAAAAAATGCTGGATTAAATACAACCCAGTGCTGTGTAAAATAGGGACAAACCCAGCAATTGGGTTGTTTTGACCCAGCGGTTGGGTTATTACCCAGAAGGTTGGGTTAAACATTTAACCCAACCGCTGGGTCAAAACAGCCCAATTGCTGGGTTTGTCCCTATTTTACCCAGCACTGGGTTGTATTTAACCCAGCATTTTTTAGAGTGTGTGATGTGAGTTCTCAGAGCATTGGAGAAAACATCTCTTGATCTCCAGTTAAGGTTACATTCAGTCAAATTAGGTCTGCTTAGATTTGTCTGTGCTTTGAGCTCTTAGCAAAATCAATAGAACAAGATATTCATTGTAAAGATTTCCTTTTTTAATCATACTTTTACTCAGTACAAAAACAGAATAAAATGTGACTAGACTATTGGTGCTAGAGTTCAAACGGCTTGCAAATGGTAGCACACTTGAAATTTACTTTCAAAAATGACTTTATTAATAGAGCTAAAAGTCTTAAGTTTGTTTTTTGTATTTAAGGTGCAATCAAATTAGCAGAATTTTGCAGGTCTATTGTCAATAGTGTAGCAATGTATGTAGTCCCTTTCTGTTAATAACTTTCCATTGAAAGTTGCGAATTTAACTTTTTTTTTATCGCACATACATATGCAAATGATGCACCGTTTCCATCCAGCAAGCAAAGAGAACAAAATTGTCACTTTCTGATAAACTGGTGCCAAATATCACTAAGAAAAATGTAATTTGCAGTAGGAGAAGCCACTGTGGGGCTTTTATTGTATATAATAAATTACCTCAGAGCATGCAAATGAAACGCAATAAATGTGGCAATGTTTTATTTTGCTTTCGGAGACAGATTCCTGCTGTTTGGGAGTGCAGTCGTGTTCAGTTCTGGGAGGTAATCATACTGAACCACTCTGACGACAGACTTTGGCTCAGGCATTTCAGATTCTGTGCAGCGAGTTTGGTCCGTTGGTTGGTCCAGTTACGCTGTCCCATCGCACAAAATCACATTACTTTTTTGATGCACATTGAGGAAGTTATTCTGTAAATGAGTTTCCATCATACTTCATGGTTTTATGGCGTGTTTTCTCATTGGATAAAAAATGTATCCGACACAGTTTTTAGAATTTATGCGCACTTTCGCGTTTTTTTTTATGCAATATCCCAAAATGCGCATAAAAATGGGTGGATGGAAGCATAGCTAGTGTGGTGAATTTGTGACAAAGTTGTGTGAACCTGTTGTTAAATCGTTCAACCTCACACAAAATTCCAGATCGAGAGGATTCCTACTGACACCTGAATGGTGATTGGTCAAGATGGCGTTCCAGTGGTTTTAAAATATATATCAGGGGTGTCCAAACTTGCTCCTGGAGGGCCAATGTCCTGCAGAGTTTAGCTCCAACCCTATTTAAACACACCTGAACCAGCTAATCTAGGTCTTCTAGGCCAATCTAGGCCAAGAGAGTTAGAGCTGGTTGGTCCTTCAGGAGCAGGACTGGACACCCCTGATATATATATATATATATCAACAGCTCTAACGTGAAACACCTACTGTGTATATCACTGCAGCAATACATATGTTGTAGTGTTACAGTATTGGCAGGTATTACCTGTATAAATTGTAGCATATGGTGTATTAAAACATCTTCAGAGAAGCCAGTTTTACTAAAGTGTCCCCAAACTACGACCTCACTCTCATACCACAGATCTAAACATTTCCCATCTGACGGGAAGAAGAGCTTTACTGGATTTTTCGTCAGATGCTTACAATAGAGCTAGCTCAAAACAGCTGGAAATGTGTCCTGTGATGTGTTAGCAATGGGACAGGGTGGGCTGTCTGCTTCAAATTCAGCACAATTCAGCCTGACCAATGTGTGATAGGCACCCTGGGTCCCGGTCTTTCATGATGCCGCACGACAGCAAATCTAAGCAGTGTATTTTCATGTTTTAACATGACACTCTCTTTGTAAATACAATTTAGAGCACATTTTCTTTTCTAAGCATTTTTGGAGACAAAAAGAGTGTGACTGTGCGAGCCCAACGCAAACAGACGAGCGGATAACCTCCGCAAACAAATCAAAGACGTAGAATAGAAGATTTACGATGCCGTGATAACTCTACATTCGTATTCAACGTGTTTACAGCTGTGACTGTCAAACTCGTACTCTTTTAAATCTTCTCACTGAGCCCGTGGCATGTTTGTCTTACACCACCTTCATCATTCAATGCCAGAAAAGAATCACCTTTTAAAGCTAATGACTTACCCATCAAAGTGCAACACAATTCACGTAAACGCCTTTTATACAATATCACTGAATGCTGTCATCTAGTAAATATTGTAGGCGTGTTAAAATTTTGTTATGAAATATATTTTCAAATGTCAGGCAGTGACAAACACGGATAAAAAGGAATTAAATATAATAATGAAGGTTGTTCTGGTAACATTCTCTCAAACATACATCTACTAAAAATATGACCATTTAACTAATTTTCAGAAAAGTGAATTAAGTACTGAAAAAAAGGTTTAAAGGGGTCATATGATGCGATTTCAAGTTTTCCTCTTTAACATAATTTGCAGATGCCACTTAATATTCTACCACTTTGCCAATTTTGTTATCAAATGCTATTAAATTCATACATTTTAAGTGTGTCCAGATATTTTTGGGGCCACTGTATATAACCAGAGGAAGTGTAATAATTGTACACACATGGTCTCTGAATGAGAGTCAGTTGCTGTGAAGTTTCACCCTGACATCATAGTGAAACATAAATGGAGTAAAGCAGCCAATACAGTTTTCTGCCTACACCCTGAGAACAGGTAATGCCGCATTGCATCCATCATGTAAAGGTGGTAAAAATCACCCTAAGGCTGAGGTCTATCACCCACTGTGCTAATCAAAACACTGTTGTAAATTCCTTTAAACATTTTTTTACTGTCGAAACTTCATTTGTACAATGCAAACTGTTGTCTCTCTCTACTGATTATGTAATACTGTTTAGAGCGCTCCTATTTATTTTCTTAATCTTGCAAATTTGGTAATATCCTACTGCTAACTTCTAACTTGACTGGACAGTGGCTCCTGCCCTACACAAGGGAGCAATTTGGTTACTTGGATACACTTCCGGTCCGTTCCCAAACGCTTTAAACTCACTCAACTCTATGACTGGAAACAAACTCAAAAAACAGCCTCTGTGAAGTAAAAAATAAAAACAGCCAATGTGCCAACACAGTCTGGTTAGATAGAGCATGATTTAAACATATCTTTTAAAAGTACTACTCACTTGACTAGAGTTAAAACTAAGTGCTTTTAACTGTAGAAAATACAGTGCTGCCTTCAATTAACTTTTAAATGAACTTTTGCTTGACTTTAATCCAAGAATGCTGCAGTTTCCTCCTAGTTTTGTGGGAAAAGTAGAATTCATCCACCAGATGGCTAACGTCTGCTGCGCTTTATATTTCTCAAATTGGAACAGTTTGGCTGTTGTCAGGTGGGTTTACATAGTTTATTATCACATTGCCCAGCAATAAAGGCCAGACGCATGGGCAGCACTGGGCATAAATGGGTGGAAACAAAAAAAAAAAGTGGAAAAATTGGCACATAATTCTCCTCATCTTAATATTGTCTTTCATCATGCTCTGAGGGAGTGTTTGCTTAGTCTTGTTTCTGTAACAGGGATTTTCCTATACAGAGAAAAGCCCATAGATTTATCCACCAGATGGCTTTCACCTAAATAAAGGGACAGTGGTATGTGGAGTCTGATTAGTTCACTATCTACATCTAGGACCAAAATCGGTATGAAAAGTACCTATTTCGTCATCTCAGGGTTGAATGAGGTCGTCTCCATTGAATTGAATTATTTCACAGATTCCTGCTAAAGCATTTAGTGGAGTCACAGACTGAATAGAATGATAAGATATGATTCCTACTATACAAGTGTTTTACTGTAACTCTCTGAAAGGCTTCATTCAGGTTCTTCACAGAAAGATTTATTAACAATTTATTTGCAGCAGTAATATACAGTATAAATCTTCCAAGATGTAAAAATTGTCTTCTTGTCAAATTAGAGAAGAACTACAATACTCATAATCCTAAAGAGAAATGGACCAATCAGACAAGGTGCATTTACTACAGAAA